GAATAAACATACAGCATATACCTGCACACACTTTCAGAAATGCACCTAAATATTCAGTCGTGGAGAAAAATAAATTATAGAATACCTATTTAATGAATATAATGCAGCCATTTCTAAGAATGAAGCAGAATTATATGTACTGACATGGAAGGATGCTGATCATATATGTTAAATAAAAATTAAATGGGCCGGCCTGGTGGTGCAGTGGTTAAGTTCACGTGTTTCGCTTCTCAGCAGCCCAGGGTTCCCCGGTTCAGATCCTGGGTGTGGACATGGCACCACTTGGCAAAAAGCCATGCTGTGGTAGGCGTCCCACTGTATAAAGTAGAGGAAGATGGGCATGGATGTTAGCTCAGGGCTAGTCTTCCTTAGCAAAAAGAGGAGGATTGGCAGTAGTTAGCTCAGGGCTAATCTTCCTCAAAAAAAATAAATAAATAAAATAAAAAAGTGAAGTTGCACCATAGTGTGTGGAGTGTGGTTACATTTTGGTAAAATATGTAAGTGTACATATATATATATGCACAGGTAAAAGTCTGGAGGGACTCACAATTATCTGTTAATGGTGTAGTCTACAGGAGAAGGAAATTTGAAGAGACTTTCACTTTTTTTGCTTTTTACAATTCTGGGTGAATTGAATTTAGTACAAGCATCATATGTTTTTAATATTTTTGAACATAAATAAATAAATAGAAAACCGAGAAAAAATAAAAATAAATCACACAGGAAATATAAGCAAAATTTATATATCTTTTAAAAACCTAAAATATATGAACATATTGTATTCACTTATTCAAAAAGAACATATGTGTACAATAGAGGCTTTTTTACAGCAGTTTAAGCAAATATACTGTCATTGTCTAATGGTCCCAAGATGTTTTTTCCTTCATTAGTTGCCTCTGGGAATATCCAGAACACCAAGTCCCTTTTGCTTTGGGTAGGTCATTGATTCTGTACAACTCTGTAACTATTTCAGGAAGGGACCTATGTATAAAAATAAGGAGCATCACTGTAGTAGAAAAGGAGAATAAGGCCAGCACGGGAAGCGCTATTAAAGGATAAAGGATAACTGCTGCCACTTTGCCCAGTGTCCACATTCATTCAGAAAACATTTATCCATTTATCATTTAAAATTCTCCAGCCCAGACCATTCTTCTGAGTTCCAAACTCTCATATCTGATTACCTAACATCTCTGCTTGGCTTTCTCACAGGCAATTCACACATGTCTAAAACTGAACCCTTGATTTCCAGACGTACTCAGATCATCTCTTCTTGTAGTCTTTTTAGAAACTGATACCGCTGTCCGCCCAGTTCTTCATGCCAGAGACTGAAGAGTCGTTCTTGACAGCTCCCTCTGTCAAGGAGAGCTTGTCCTTGCTCTCTCGTTAATCAGTCCTATAAATTCTACCTCTGAAATTTAGTGTACGGGTGTCCATCTTCAACTGACAACTGTTACTTTTGTCCACATCACCACCTTATCTCCTCTGGATGAATGCAGTAGCTTTGTAACTGGTTTTCCTACACCTCCACCCCCAACACTGCTCACCATAGACCATTCTCCATACAGAAATTATGATAATATTTTTAAATATATACATTGGATCATCTCATGCACCCGTTTAAAACCTACAATGGTGTACCTTGGAATAAATAGAATAAAATCCAAACTCTTTATGGTAATATAAAAGACTATAAGATCTGGCCCCTTGTTGTTTCTCACCTATCTTATTTCACTCTCTCATTGCTTCCTATGCTTCAGCCACATTGGCTTTCTCTTGAATCTTCAAGTGTACCTTGGCTTTTCCTACTTTAGTGCCCTCACATTTGCTGTTCCCCTAGCAGGGAATACTCTTCCCACTATCCTTTATGGCTGGCCTCTTCTCATCCTTCAGGTCACAGTTTAAATGTCACCTCCTCAGAAGGACCTTCTCTGATATCCATATCTAAGTATATTTCCTTCAGGTATCCTTTATAGACATTTCTGGATTGTTTCCTTTATGACATTTGTCACTTTTTGCCTACTTATTTATTTGTTCACTTGTTTATCATCCACCTCCCTCATTGCACTACTCCATAATCAATATCATGTCTATTTCTTTTGCCACACTGTCTCCAGTATCCAGCAGAATGTCTGACACATAATAGTTAATCAATCAATCAACACTTGTAGCATAAATGAGTGAGCTCTGTCCTTAAGCATATTGAGCAGGGGAGATAAGATATGTACACCTAAATCTAATTTAACGTATAAATTAAAACTATATATGAGAGGTACCAGGAAAGTGCCACAGAGGTTAAGTGTTTAGTTCACTCCTTATCACAAAGTTAATGTTCAATAAATGTTGAATGAATGAAAAGTTTCCCTGCATGAGAAAGTGGACACGTTTTCTTTTCATAAGAATGCAGTGAGATTGTTTGGTGATTCTGCCGCCCTTACTTAAGACAATATTTTTTTTATTTACAAATTCTGAGATTTAAAAATAAAAAAAAAATAGAGATAGGTAAAAATAAATGTGAATACAGTGCAATCACATATTACTCAAAGGTTAGGTTCCAAAATAAGTATGTATGGTAAATATTATGTTTAAGTAATATTAAGCTTGAAAGTCACATAAATCTTTCCAAGCACAATTTTCCTAGTTGTATTGATACCACTTTACAGAGAAATTCTCATGTACACTAAAGCTTGAGAGCCACTAAACCTATCTAAATCAGGAAACAAAAGAAATGTCTATATCTGGGCATTCAAACTTTTCTGCCTTTAAGATAAAGGATGAGTGAAGGACAGTTGGGGAATTATAAACTGCTCCTACTGGCCAACAGGGTTTGTATATGCTTTTAGTGTTGACTCTATTGATGTGTATTAAAATATTTCTTTAATGAGAATTAAATTTGGTGATATATGTGAAAGCACATAGCTCTGGGACTAGCACATACTAGATGTGAATGCTTGATGAATTTGAAATTAAATCTTGCTTCATTAGACCAACATACAAAAGTTTTAAAAATAGGTATGGAGAAGAATGTGATTTCATGCTTCTTATATTTCCAAGTTGGCATTTCCTGTTGTAACACCATTGAATTCCTCCATGACTTTTTTCGAAATATATTGGTGGGGGGAAGAATGAGCATAGGGAATAATCAATGGTAATTTTCTGTGGCCACCCCCAACCTACAGCTGCCACATTCTCAGAACTATAGCAGGCTTTTTCATCCGGGGTTGCAATATTCATCCTTGTAATCAGGAAACTCACAGCCTGACTTTGTCAGGGTTGTTGCTACTTTCATCATTGACCCTTGGAAAGAATGACTTTTTGTAATTTGCAAATCCCCATTATTCCTCAATTCTGGATAGCTTAAGGGGGACTAAATCCACATAGACTAGGAGGCATAGCTGTCCAATATATCCTATGTATACATTAATTTATGAGCCAATAAATGTTTCATATATAGTTGAGATTTTAAATGAGCTTTTGATAATTGGATCAAAGGAATGCTAGTCTAGCTTGAGAGTATGGCAGAAAACCAATCATGGGAGGCTATGATGAAATTTTAATTATAAAGGATATTGAATATCCTAGGGTGACAACTCTGTTATAATGATGTAACATTGAATTGGAGAGAGAGAAAGTGAGATTTTTACCCAGTTCTGCTTGAAATCAACTCTGTGTTTGTAGTAAATTATTGAACTATTCTACGGTTCAGTTTTGTATTTTCATTTAAGTTACCACTCCATTGTCTTTAGTTCACTGGATTTATTAGAGAATTGCCCAATAGATTTAGATAAAGAAAAGTCACAAGTTAAAGTGTTGGCTGATTGGGGAGTTTTGTGTGTACTTTTTTCCTATTCAGTGTTGAAAAACTGAAGTTGGCATCAACCAACTTCAAGTTGTGATGCATCAAGCTAAATGATTTTAAGATCTTTTGAGATCCTTAGTTCAGAGATGCTGTTTAAATAGAGCCCATACAAGATTTTCCTTCTCAATTCTGTCAGTCAAGTAGAATATGCTTTCTTTGCTTGTGATAGAAAAAAAGAGAATGCAGGGGCTGGCCCCGTGGCCAAGTGGTTAAGTTTGTGTGCTCCACTGCAGGCGGCCCAGTATTTCGTTGGTTCGAATCCTGGGCGCGGACATGGCACTGCTCATCAAACCACGCTGAGGCAGCGTCCCACATGCCACAACTAGAAGAACCCACAATGAAGAATATACAACTATGTTCTGGGGGGCTTTGGGGAGAAAAAGGAAAAAATAAAATCTTTAAAAAAAAACAAGAACAAAAAAGAAAAAAGAGAACGCAGAAGTTTGGGTTTTCTGTTTCTTTTCTCTCATCCCTCCTTTCTCCTCAGGTTATTTGGATAATTTTGTGAGACTTCTATTCCCATGCTGTCCCCTCTTTTTTCTGGCTTTAATCATTGAGAATTTATATATTGAAATTTTAACATGCTTTATCTCAATAAATGTCTAGCAGCAACTGTTTGTAGTAAGTACTATGTTTTCCTTATTTTACTAAGCTAAGGTTTAGAGAGATTGAACAACTTTGCCAAGGATACATAATTAACAAACCTGAGCTAGATCTTGAGTCATAGAGTTTGGCTTTACATCAATCAGGATTACTAGAAGAAAGCCCTACCTAGGTGTATGATCTAAGCATACACTGTGATTAAAAACCTTGAAATAGGGTTGGGGTCTGTAACTGCCAGTGGAATTTAATCCTAGATCTTCTACCTAAAATATGCTTTGTAAAAAATTCTGAGGTTACTACAAAGTTGAAGAATCTATAAATCGTTTCTAAATAAACTTTTTGTTTTGTTTTGGTTTATTTTGGTTTTTGCTGAGGAAGATTCGCCCTGAGCTAACATCTGCTGCCAATCTTCCTCTTTTTGTATGTGAGCTGCCATCACAGCATGGCCACTGACAGATGGGTGGTGTAGGTCCACGCCCGGGAATGGGGCCCAGGCCACCAAAGTGGAGAACGCGGAACTTAACCACTAGACCACTGGGGCTGGCCCTCTAAATAACTTTTAAAAGGAATTTTGATAAAGAAATGTTTTAGATAACATTATCTCATCAAAATGCCCTAAAGGATCTTTTAATAGTCACAGGAAATCCAGTATATCTTAACTTAGCTAATTTACGGGATTTATATTTTATCTGCCTTATAATGTGTTATACACGTACCTGCTGAAGGAATTACGTAACAAAATCTATCACAAGGAATACATGAGTGGGATTTATATCATAAAAGTACAAGTCATTTGTAAAACCCCATTACTTAGGCAGAATATTGTAGGTGGGAAGATGGTACTGAAAGAAGAGGTGAGGATAGGAAATACAAATCTATTTTGCCTCACAATTTTGCTAAGGCCAGCCATTTAAAAACATATAGAAGATCCAATTGAAGTATCTAAAAGAAGAAGAAATTTGTAGTTGTGAAAACATTTGACTAGGATCTCATATAAAATGCTTGGAAATTAATAACTTGAGACCAAACAGTATGATTCTTAATTAGGAAAGCATGTCTAGTGGTCAGATGTTGTATTAGAATCTCCAGAAACAGGGGCATGGAAAAAGGCTTTCCGGAGATTCTGATCCAGTTTCTTCATCAATACCAAACTCACTGGGCTCTTGTGAGCATTAAATGAGATAATATGTACAGAAATAATAAGCAAACTGTTAAGTGCTAAGGCATCAGGATGCAAGGGGGACCCTAAAAGCCAATAGTTACCTCATATTGTGAATATATGAATGGATACTTTTGAAAATTGACCCTTCTTAGGCAGAGGTATAGGTTTGCTTGTTTTTTCCAAGCAGCAAGCAAATTGTGGGCTTCATTTAGACTGAGCTCAGGTCATATCTTGGAAAACAGTTCAAATTTAAGGTATAATTCAACAATATCAATTCAACAATATCTACATTTTTCGAAATAGAAAAAAAACAGTATCCAAGTCAATGAATGCTTTGGCTAAAACTCACTTGGGAACAACGATATTCTTTAGTGCCAAATTCCCATCTTATTTTATTCCATGGCTAAAATCCCAAGAATTACAGAGGAGAAACAGGCCAAACAAGGTTTTCTATTAAAATAAGAAGTCCCAAATGATGAATGGAAACTTGGAACAGGTTTTCATGGCAATCCTAAAAGCCAGAAATTAGCTTAAATACAAACTTATGAATTTCTGGCATGTACTGAGTCTCAAATAGAATATTGGCACTAATGTTAGTGAATAGAAACATGGCTTAATTTAGGCAGTTGTTATTCTCATTCTAGAGAGCTCAGCTTGCTGCTGGATTGGTCTGGACCGTTGATGCTTCCTTGTCTCCAGTCATTGATAAAATGTTGAGTGAATTAAGACTAATGGTGGATCTTGCAGTCACCCGCTAGACTTCCAGGTTGAAGCATGCCATTGATAAACACTCTTTGGCACTGTTTTCAAACAATTATGAAATCACCTAACTTTGCTGTCCTGCAGCCTTTCTTTATTTTGTCTGCAAGGGTATATTGGGGACCTTTGTTTACTGTCTCCATGAATTCCAGATAGATTGTGCCTGTAGCATTTTCCAGCAACTGAAAATCTAAAATGCCCATGTCAGTTCTTTTTAAGTCTATGTGGTTGGTTTGATGTTACCAGTTTTTGGTTAAGCCAAAGTAGTCCCTGGTATGAATGCCTTTCATTTCTGAGTGCTCATAAACAATCACTTCAGTAATATTAGAGTTGTGAAGGAATTTAAATCAAATTCAAGGCACTTTTTTAAAAATAGGAAATTTGGTTCTCTAGTCACATCTGTAAGCTCTTCTGGTACCCTGGAAGATCATTTATCTTGTTACAGACACTTGACTTGCTTCTAGTACTTTCATGCTTCCTACCTCCTCACTGATCTTGAGGTTCAAGTTCTGCTTAAACATTTTCTTCAACGAAAAAGAAAGAATTTGGGTAATATACTTTCTAAATATCTTTCAATCTTTAACACTCTATGATTCTTGTTAGGCTGTTTCAACTGAGAATACTGATAGAGAAGCAAAGTCCCAAAATTGACATTTGATTTTATCTGTTATTATTATACAATCTGCCCCAATCCTTTAACCTATTCTCCATTTTTATTGTTATTCATCCAAATATATTTTGAGTCCCTTTGTTTATTCTAGGAAATTTTCAAATGCCTCAGTCAAGAATCAAAAGTATATTTGTTTCTCAGAACTAAAAATTTAGAGGCTCTCTCCCTAAAAGCTAAAGCATTCCCTCTGAAGGGAAGGGAATATGAAAAAATTTCAGCAGTCATGTTATATGAAAAGTCTTTTTTATCTCCCCATCCACTGGATGCAATACCTGTAAAGAATGCTATATCATATTGGAAAGTATTTTCTTTCTGTAGATGCATAAAGATCAGAAGTCCTGTTCCTTTATAACAAGATGGAATTCCCCCCTCCATTTGTAATACTTTATTTGAATAATAATAAGAACAAAATTAAGCAATAAAAAGAACAAAAATAAAAAGACCTATAAATGTTCTCACTCCTCAAAAGGTTTTCTCCTACCCATTCTGTACATATTCTTGGTTGTTCCTACCTAGGATGTGAAGAAAGGAAGAGAGATGTTTTGCTCAATACATATAATTTCAGATAGACTCTTTCAGAATTTAAACACAATTCCAATGTGATCTCTTAATTCATTTTGGAATAAGAAGATCCTAATGATCTAACAGTAGAATCAAATCAATTAAGACTTGAAAAATGGTTGCTTTTTAAAAATGTAAGAAGATGTACACTCATTCAATGCTTCAACATTTCCAATGACGGGAAAGTCACTAGCTCACAAAGCAGCATATTCAATTTGTAAATTTCCATCCACACATTCATTATATATGTATGGAGCCACACTCTGTTTAGAATGAACAGTCTAACAACAACAAGACTTAAAGTGGAGAGATCAGTTAGGAGGTTAGGAGGCCTTCTCATTAGTAGGTGAGAAATGATGAAGTCTAAACTAAGTCAGCACCAAGAGAGGAAAATGGAATAACAAATTTAAAACATATTTAGAAAACAGAACAACTAGATTTAATGACTAACTCCAGTCCAGATTCAAGGAGAGAGGATTAGTTTCCACCTCTCAAATAAGTGGAGTAGAAAAGAATTATAGCCAACTTGAATCTGTCACACCCACCTTAAGATGGAATTTTTTTAACTACCTTGGACGACACTAAACATTGAGATGTTCGTTTGTCTCTGTTTTTAAATTATTTATCATGTGCTCAGTTTGTGGAACAACATAAATATACAACTGAAAAATGAAAATTAGATCCTTCCGTATTCGGCAGATACTCTCATAACGGTCAACCCAAAGCCTGATCAAACGAATGAGCATGTCCCCTTGCCCTGTGGCCAAAATATGCCAGATTATTTGGTTTCCCAAAGCAAAATGATTTGTAATGATGCTAATAATAGAGAAAGGAAAATTTATGTGAATTAAGAGAGTTCACTGAGTGCCAGTATTTTTTTTATAGGCTTAATTCAGTTGTATTGTGATTGGTTTTGCTCCTGTGCCCAATGGCCTCGTGATAGATGCATTTTACAAATACAATTATGGGGTGCTATTTCAAGGTTCTTGTCTGGCACGGGGGAAAACAAGTGCCATGACTTATCATGGCACTTGTCTTATCATGGCACTTTTCTTGTTATTTATAAGCAAAAAATACCTTTATTTTATAATTTGTAATTATAATACAAAGTAAAAAGAGTGATAACATAATACTTTGGGGAAGAGCCTTTCTTAGAGTCCAGCAACTTTATTAGTAGGATTCAGTTCTCCTAGTTTGAAATAGTTTGTATGTCAAATTTTAAAGGGAGAAATCTGTAGTAAAATCATTGCAGGCTCTTGAGCCCTCTCTCTCTATTAGACATGGTCTGTCTATATACAACAAAGGGGATGTGCCTGAATTGTAGTAGTTCTTCTTGAATTTGCTAAAAAAGGATCTGAAGAAAATGAAAGAATCATCACTTATGTATTGAGAGCCTATAAGGTTTCCTACATTGTGAAGAATATACAGAAATATAAGACATGGCTTCTGTTTGCAGGTTGCTTATAAATAGGGTAAAGAAATAATAGCACAACTACAAGGACCTGCAGCTAGAATGAGTATACAACTATGTTCTCGGGGGACATTGGGGAGAAGAAGGGGGAAAAAAAAGAAGATTGGCAACAGGTGTTAGCTCAGGTGCCAATCTTTAAGAAAAAAAGAAAGAATATTAAAGCATTTGGATGAATTAGAGGTGACACATGTCAGCATTCAGAGATACCTGGTAGACTGTGAAAGAGAAAAAAAGGCCGTTATGCTTATAATAGACAATGTTTCATGGATTAGTTGGGTTTAAAGCTGGACCTTGAAACATATATAAGATTTGGAAATGGGGAGAGAAAAGAAGAAGCTATTTCTATTTGAGAGAATTGGACAAGTAAAGTTGTAAATTTAGTTCTGTTCAAAAAACATTAAGTACGTCTGTGCCAAACTCTATATTGGGTGCTGGAGATTACAGCATTTTTGGGAACTCTTCTGCACTCTGTTGCTAAAGTATTTTCATGTATCCTAAAAAGGTGAATCTCTTGTGAAGAAACAAATCCCTTGAAGGAATTCTCATGACAGAAATCTCTTTTCCTTGATGATATAGAAAGGGACTAGTTTTTGTTCTCAGAATACAGGATGAGCTCTAGAAATAGTTGGGAAAGCTTAACTTTGCTGCTCACTCATCTTCTCCGTCATCACTGACTTCCTGTATGGCCTATGCCAGGTGCTTATCTGTGTTTGATACCTGAAGGGCCATGCTATATAGAGACTGTCAACTAAGGTGTTATCTGATCATAATAAATTGTTGCATTTTAATAAAAATAATAGTAATAATGTACTTGTCAGTCACTATGCAAACTGCTTTATATACATCACCTCATGTAATCATAACAACCTTATGAACTTTACTTATTATTGTCTTCCCTAATTAAAATGAGTCTAATCTGAAGCTTAGATTAAGTAACATGTCCAAGGCCATACAGTTGGTCGTTGGCAAGGGTGTGACTGACTCCATAGTCTGTGTTCCTAATCACTGTGCTATTCTGCTTTTTAGTAGCGGGTTCTTGAAGGCCCAAGGGAAGGAATGCATAAACGGCACAGCTGAGGCATCAGCATTAGTATTTGTGACAGAGCATTAGCCAGCAGTCTAAGCAATCCCATTCCACCAGCTAGTGAGGTTGGCCAGAGGCTAAGTACAGTAGTGTGAGAAACAACAGTAGTGCCAAACATGGAGTATAACGTTTTTAGCACAACGTCTTTGAAAAAGGTGGCTGATTTGCGTTGGTTGCCTGTTTGCCTTCTCAGTCATTGAGGGAGTAAATACCAGTTGAAGCTTATGATCCCGACACATCAAAATGGACAACCTGGCAGGTGTCCTTGCTGAAAGATGATGAGATTGCTAAAAGACAAGCCCTGGTTTTCCTCCGGGGATGTGACATTTGGGGGCTTCCATTAAAAACATCACCAAGCCTCTGTCACTTTAATCTCTTCCTTAAGTGCCTGTGATCTTTTCAGGGGCACAAGTCCATGCATGGTCAATACCCAGTGGCCAGGTTTCGGAGCTGTGGGCAGAGGTGGCAGTGACTGTGAGGGCCTGGGAGAAGATGAGGGAAGGAAAGGTCACTCTTCCTGACAACTTATAACTTGATTCCACTTTTAAGCCATTTATTTTCAGAAATAAGTAATGGGTGAAGACATAGGCCAGGCCTACAATTTGTGCACTTGAGAGTTTAAGGCTTTCTGAGATCAAATTACCACAGCAGAGACAGAGTTACTGTAGGAATATTCTGGGAGGAAGCAGACAGAGAGGGAGAAGCCAGAGACCTAAGAAAGGAGACAGGAATAGAATGTGATGGAAATTGCTTCCCACTCTGCACCCTTGAGGGAACAAAGAGGACAAACAAGAAGCAGCAGTGATAGGAGGAAGCTGGGAGCTTCTCTAGATAAAATTAGTTAGGTTATGGAGGGTTGTCAGCGAGTGTACTTGGTGGGTAGAAGGGATGTGCTAGTTCAGGCCTTTGAAATCTGGGTGTCAGGATCATTGCCTTGGCCTCTTCAACTATCCCGTCAAGGAGGGAAGCATGCCAAATGCCAGGTCTCATTCTGGCTGAGTTCCAGTCCATAGCTAGAAAATGACCCACAGAGGAAGATCTAGGAGTGAGAGGATGCTGGGAGATGAGGAAAAGAAAGGACATTTTAATGAATGCTTCTTGCATGTGGGGCAATGGATTTTAAACTCCTCTGGAAGAGATGAGAGGGCCTACGGAGAGTGGATGTTCAGAACAGAGAAGCAGAGGCAATGACACAGCACAGAAAGCCTTGCTCTGATCATTCTGCCTCCTTCACTGAAGAGACCTGGTTGTCCTTTTGTTGCGTCTGCAGCAATACAAGGGGGACTCCTAGGGGAACTGAGGCCCATAGGTGTAAGGGAGCCTTATATTTATGGAAGAAGAGCTGCAGCTATTGAAATTGCTGTGTATTGTAAGATAAATGCGTCTCCCACATTTTGCTTAATAACAGCAGACTTTTCACTGCAAAGCATTAATGGAGTTGGAATTCCCGCCAGGCTTGGGAGATCAAGAGTAACTCTCTTGATGTAACGGTTTTGCAGGCTCTGGAAGACATTGTCATCCATTAAAGAAAAATTTTAAAATCAGTCCTGAAAGAACAAAGAAAATGTCTTGGGTGATAAATAAAAAAGATTTGAAGTAAAATAAGGAAAACCTTGAGGGGAGAATCTCTTTCGAATTCTACCAGATTCTCCCCACTATAATCAAAAGGGGTCAAATAAGAGCTTAGCTTGCAGCTTCATGGAGCCAATTTTTTAAAGAGAGAATTTTAAAACCTGAAATATTGGTTATCTGCAAAGGCATACAACGAAAGTAAGGGCCACATGGATAGGAGCAGAATTGAGTGTTTGGATCCCAGGATGCTAGTTTTAGGCTTGCTGCACGAAAGAGGACAGCGCTTGCCATCCCCCTGCCTTTGCCCTAGGAGTTGAACACTTTCTGCAGTACTTAGGAGTATTCCAGGGAAAACATGAGGGACAGGTAAATAGTCCCCATCATCAGTAACCCCAGAGCGCCTCCCTGGCGTTCGTCTCCTTTGAACGTGGAGCCGCCGCCCATGTACCCATACTTAGCTAAGGCCCTCAGTTTATTTTGCTGAATTGCGCTTGGAAATCTTTTCCTGGGGAGCTAATAGTCCGAGTCCTAGAGATTTAACTGCTTTTCCTAGAATAATCTCCTTACAAGACCCGTTAAGCAGCCTAGGGACCGCGGGGACTGGATGAAAATGACGGTGGGGGCAGGGAGAAAGGGAGTGGCCGTGTTTCCGCGGTCTGCTGGGATTCGGCAGGTCCAGGGAGAAGGAGCCGGGGCTGGAGCGGTTGGAGCGGCTGATCAGTCCAGGTCGCGGTCCGCCACCTCGGTGTGGAATCGGGGCCGGACTTGCTGAGCACTCCTCCCCCTCCCCTTCTGCTTCCTTCTCCCTCCCCCTGGAGCAGCAGCAGCGGCGGCGGCGGCGGCGGCGGCGGCGCGGCAGGAAGCGAAGCCAGGCTGAGCGACTCCGAGGCGAGCGGAGGAGCTGAGATATGGGGAGTCGGCGGGGGCGGCGGGGCCAGGAGCCCCACGGAGGGCCTGCGAGGGGAGCGGCCCCCGGCGTTTGCTAGCGCGTGAGCCGTGGGGGAGCAGGCGCAGGGCGGCACGAGCGGAGGCAGAGGCGGGGCCCGGGCGTGGAGCGCGGCCGGGGAAGCTGCTGCCTCCGGCCCTGCCCGGCTGCCTCCGCCGCGGCCGGTGGCTATGGAGCTGGCGGGCAGCAGACCTGGGGCGACAGAGCATTCGCGACTCCGGCTGCCCATGTCCTGGCTGCTGCCGCTGCCTCTCCTGCTGCTACTGCTGCTGCCAGGCCCAGCGACCTCCCAGCTGCGATACTCGGTGCCGGAGGAGCAGGCACCCGGAGCGCTTGTGGGCAACGTGGCTAGCGCGCTGGGACTGGAGCTGCGGCGCTTGGGGCCGGGCTGCCTGCGCATCAACCATCTGGGTGCGCCCAGCCCGCGCTACCTGGAGCTGGACCTGACAAGTGGAGCGCTCTTCGTCAACGAGCGCATTGACCGGGAGGCGCTGTGTGAGCAGCGGCCTCGCTGCCTGCTCAGCTTGGAAGTGCTGGCGCACAGCCCCGTGGCGGTGAGCGCCGTTGAGGTGGAGGTATTGGACATCAACGACAACTCGCCGCGCTTCCCGCGGCCGGACTACCAGCTTCAGGTAAGCGAATCGGTGGCACCTGGAGCGCGCTTTCATATAGAGAGCGCGCAGGACCCCGACGTGGGCGCCAACTCGGTGCAGACCTACGAGCTCAGCCCCAGCGAGCACTTCGAGCTGGACCTTAAACCCCTGCAGGAGAACAGTAAGGTGCTGGAGCTGGTGCTGCGTAAGGGCCTAGACCGCGAGCAGGCAGTCTTGCACCACCTGGTTCTCACAGCTGTGGACGGGGGCAGCCCAGCCCGCTCGGGCACAGCACAGATCTCTGTGCGTGTCCTGGACACTAACGACAATTCTCCCACCTTCGACCAGTCCACTTACCGCGTCCAGCTGCGGGAGGACGCGCCCCCAGGCACATTGGTAGTGAAGCTGAATGCGTCAGACCCGGATGAGGGCTCCAATGGCGAGCTCAGGTACTCCTTAAGTAGCTACACGTCGGACCGGGAGAGGCAGCTCTTCAGCATCGACGCCAGGACGGGGGAAGTGCGGGTAAGTGGAGCGCTGGATTATGAGGAGGCCTCTTCCTACCAGATCTATGTGCAGGCGACTGACCGGGGTCCAGTGCCCATGGTGGGTCACTGCAAGGTGCTGGTGGACATCGTGGATGTGAATGATAATGCACCAGAGGTGGTGCTCACGGACCTGTATAGCCCAGTGCCTGAGGATGCTGCACCTAACACCGTCGTGGCCCTTCTCAGCGTCAATGACCAAGACTCAGGCCTCAACCGGAAAGTGAGTCTGGGCCTGGAGGCCACAATGCCTTTCCGACTGAATGGCTTTGGAAACTCCTACACACTGGTGGTGAATGGCCCCTTGGACAGGGAACGAGTGGCTGCCTACAACATCACAGTGACAGCCACTGATGGAGGAATACCACAGCTCACATCCCAGCGGACACTGCGGGTTGAGATCTCTGACATCAATGACAATCCACCAAGTTTCCAGAAGGACTCCTACTCCATCTACATCCAGGAGAACAATTTGCCAGGGGTGTTGCTCTGCTCTGTGCAAGCCACAGACCCGGATGAAAAGGAGAATGCAGAGGTGACCTACTCCCTCCTGGAGAGGGAGATTCAAGGGCTACCAGTCACCTCTTATGTCTCCATTAACAGTGCTAGTGGCAGCCTTTATGCTGTCAACTCCTTTGACTATGAGAAGTTTCGGGAGTTCTTTGTGACTGTGGAGGCCCAGGACAAGGGGAGCCCACCACTGAGCAGCACTGTGACCGCCAATGTGTATATAGTGGACGTGAATGACCATGCCCCTCACATCCTGTATCCTACCTCAACCAATTCGTCAGCAGCCATTGAGATGGTGCCTCGGACTGCCCCTGCTGGCTACCTGGTCACCAAAGTCATAGCCATGGACTCAGACTCTGGGCAAAATGCTTGGCTCTTTTACCATCTGGCCCAGTCTTCTGACCTGGACCTCTTCAAAGTGGAGCTCCACACAGGAGAAATTAGGACTACCAGGAAGATGGGAGACGAGAGTGGCACCACTTTCAACCTGACTGTGGTGGTCCGAGACAACGGAGAGCCATCACTGTCAGCCTCTGTGGCCATTACAATAGCTGTGGTGGACAGAGTCTCCAAAATCCTCCCTGATACTCAGAGACATGTTAGGAGTCCTCGGACATACTCTGAAATTACACTTTATCTAATAATAGCGTTAAGCACAGTGTCTTTTATATTTCTTTTAACAATCATTGTTTTGAGCATCATCAAGTGCTACCACTACACTGCATATGGCACTGCGTGCTGTGGAGGCTTCTGTGGAGTGAGGGAGCGCTCCCCTGCAGAACTGTACAAACAGGCCAATAACAATATCGATGCCAGGCTACCGCATGGCCTCAAAGTGCAGCCTCACTTCATTGAAGTGCGAGGGAATGGCTCCCTCACTAAGACCTACTGCTACAAGGCCTGTCTGACAGCAGGCTCAGGGAGTGACACTTTCATGTTTTACAACACAGGGGCCCAGACAGGACCGGGGCCTGGGGGAGCCCAAGCAGCAGCCGGTGACAGCAGGCACCTCACAGGCCAAAGTGGGCCGAGTGCCGGGAACCTGATTATTCTCAAAAACGAGGCTGTTTCTCAAAATGAGGTGAGGTAGCAGTCAAGGAGTCTTCAACAAAGTCATGCATTTTTCACATATCCCTCCCCCATATCATGTGATGGCTTTATCGAGTTACTAACAGTGACAGAGGTTATCTGGTAAACTGAGTATATATATGTAGTATGTGATTTGATTATAATTTACTGTTTCCTCTCTAGAAAAATAGCACCAGAGAATTGGTTTTACTTTTCATCTTATTTTCAGATATATAAAGCCTTGACCATAAAATTGTTTGAGAAATGAGGATTGGTCTTAAATGTTTGATGTTAAAGCACAGCTCTGTGGAGAAATAGAACAGGCTTGAGAATGAGATGATGCTGTAGGGAGTAATGTTATGAGATTCAAAGAGAAATGGCCTCTGTCCTATTATCTGCAGGGAAAGTTCTCATTTGAAATCCTGTAGAAGTGTTGTTTTTTACAAAGCTCTGGGACCTTTAGAGGCCGTGGTGATCACCTCTGTATACTGTTCCTGTTTATACCTTGGACTGTCTATGGTGAAAATTATCCAGTTAATATTTCCAGAAATTGCACTGAACTAGTGCAGTAGGATCTTCTGGAAATTCATGTCGGAGGTGATCAAGCCATAGAATGTGGACCTCACCCTGAAGCCAAAGTTTGCTTTGGTTGTTTGATGTGCTAACTCTTCTGTAGAGGTTGTCAGAGGAAATGGTTGATGGTAAGGCAGAGAGACCAAGAACCAATTTGTCTGGTTGGCCAGGGAGATATTAGAATGAGTGGAGTAGGGACGTGGGGTGCTGGTGAAGGTCAGGACCAGCTGGGAGTGGGGAGAAAGAAAAGAGGAAAAGAACTCTCCCATTAGTCACCTTTCTTGGCATAGAATTCATTGTAAGAGGATTTCCCTACGTTTAACTTGAATGCCATCTATAATCTTCTGATTTCCTATTGGCAGTACCTAAGGTTTTGATGAGGTGTGAAGTAGCCTCTTCAAGCCCCTCATGTCTTTAAGTTAAATGACAATACTCTGACATGTTCCAAAGCACACCGTCATTATTTGGATCTAAAAGCTGGTTGCAAAAGCCTTGGAAAATGGGTGGCTTACTGTACATGAAAGACAGGTGTTAGTGAGTACACTGATTTTAAGTTTTAGGTAGACATAAGAACAGCTTGCTCATTATTATGAAGAATGTATGCAAATTATTGACAGGGCATGATGTGTAGATGTGTTTGTGTCCATGTGCGTGCTTGAAATAGTAGGGATTTGCTTTGTGATATTTTAAACTTGGATTTCAGAAGCCAAAATTTTGTTCCATAAATAGCAGTGAATTGTTATCACCCCAAACAACTATTTTGTAGCTAGGACTTGTGCAGCTACTACAAAATGAGTTAGTAATATTTGTCCCTCCTGTATTTTTTTCTGATGTATTTTCATTGACATATTGCTGTCTTTTTATTAATGTCTGTATTTTCACATTCTAAATTCATACTAATCTTAAAGTAGTATATAAGCACAGAGAAAACAGATGGCTTGGGGGGAGAATTTCCCATCCACCTTGTAGGTAGGTTTATCAGAACAGCCTGATGTTAGTCAGTGCTGAGCAGCCACAGGAGGCAGATTGCAGATTAAGAAAAACAGGGAAAAATCAAGGAGTTTCCAGAATTCTTTAGAGGATAGCTTTTGGAAGCATATAAAAGGCCTTAGCTTTAAATAAGGATGCTGTAGACATTTGCTTAATTTCCTGTGCAGCCCTTTTGGGCCTGGGGTGGGCTGCAGGGTGAAGAGGAACCAAGAGCAGGCCTGGCTGGGCTCAGTTTTGCCCCCAGCTGTGAACCGGAAGCTCCCAGGAATGACATTCTTACCCTCCCTCTCCTTGTTCAAAGCTGGGGGCAATTTGATACATGAACTATTTCTGTCTTACGCTGACCTGCCTGTTATTATGTACTTTGGTACACAAACCTTTAATCTAGGGAGAAAATTATGTCAGAAAAGTGCTTACTCCTGTGAGATTTTGCCACGAGAGTGCATGATTTTAATAAAGGCAAAATTTCTGCAGACACTTTTGGAAATCCAGTGAAGAGTTCTAAAATCTACTGCGCCTGAAATTAGTGCAGTTATAGGGAGAGAGTGAGTCATGTTGTCATAGCGTGGCAAAATGGGAACAAAATCACTCAACTCTGAAAGTCACTGCTTGATCAACCTGTTCAATTTCATGTTAGGCTTTCTCTTTTCCGTGCCCTGTTACTGCAGGTGCAGGAGGGTCCTGGGGTGCAATTAATGCCATGTGCCGACATTGAAGTTAGATGGGGATTGGAAAGGATGAGTAAGGGAATTTGCACTCACTGACCACCCTGCTATATAACAATGTTTTGCTTTGCATTATATGTATGGTTTCATTATTCGTAAGTCATACATTAAACAAACATTTATCCAATCTCTAGCATATGAGGAAACAAGCTCAGAGAGGTTAAGTAGCATACACAGTCACAATCACTTAAAAGTGGTACTTTAAGTCATGCCTCTCTGACTCCAAAAACTGTGCTTTTTGAAATAGTTTTGAGTAAACAGAAATCCAAGTGTTTATACTCCTTTTGATTTGGGATACTCAGGCATTTAGGCTACCACTGGCTCACCTAGTAATACAAATGAACTGCTTTGGAAAAAGAGTCATTCCTTCCATAGAAGTAGGTCACAAATGGATCAGTGAGTAAATATATTTTTATTTGTTTTACTATTGGCAAAGCCTGTTAAGATCTTTTATCTCTGTTCTTTCTCTGATTTCTCTCTTGTTGCTTTTAAACATCAGCCTTTAACACCAGACTCTAATCTTTTGCTGGAGTGAGCTTATTTCACAAGCCACTCGTGTAGTGAGGTTTTTCAAGTAACTTTTGGCAATGGGGCAGAATTTCTATTTGGAGACTTCTGAAAACCTGTTATTGAATGTAGGTAGTACCCTCTTCAGAATCTCCAAGAAAAGGAACCAAATGTTAAGGTGGATTCTGTGCATTTATGGTCCTGTGACTGCTAGTGACTCACTTTGAGTGCTCTGGGCAGATTTGTCCAACTGTGGCAGTGGGACCAGTTGGCATAAGATGTGGAAGTCACAAAAGAGTAGCAGAAAAGAGTTGTTGGCGTCACTTTCACTTATTTTAAAGCAATTTGTAGTTACCAAATCTTCAGTTATTTCTGCCATTGAGCGTACATATTCACCCTAATTCCAGATATAGTGACCTGAAAGGGTTAGCCTTTCTTTCAGTGGCACCTGATTTATTCCCCCAGGACTGACTTTTCTATCTGGTGACTGTCCTGAACCAGAATTTACGCTTAGTGTAAAGTGGCATGGTGGTGAATTTATAAAAACTGCACCATGGTCAGAATAGGCAAGGAAATTGTATCTGAGAACTTCCATTCCAGTGTTTCATCCTCTGATGGTCACATCCACATCCTCTGAGTGGGTGGGGCTGTTTTGTTTTACCATTTCCATGTTGGTTATGGGGCTGTTCTTCTGAGAAGAGATTTGTCTTCTTTTGTCTGATAATATAATAATTTCTTCAAATTACCTCCTTCCTCCCTTCTTCTGCAGATCTGCTGAGCCAGATGGAATAATGGCTAAGCTCTTCTCTGTCCCTTTATCTTGCACATATTCTGACTGATGAAGAAATCTATTTATTATAGTTTGAATGTCATTGGTCTACCCTTTCCTCTGACCCAGGAGTGAGCGTCACATGGGCATCTGGTCTAACTCAGAATGCTCTGCAGGGACTCAGCCTGGCATATTATAAATTGTCTGTTGGCATGCTGTCTGCTTGCCAGAAGAGCAGAATCAGTTCTGGATACTTGCCTTGGTTGGCCACCAATTTTTGCTCTCAATGAGAGGTCAGGATGATGTCAGTTTGCAAATGTTTGAGGAAAAATTGCCATCGCCACGTCCAGAAGTTTAGCTGAATTTAGTGGGGGTTTATGGGTGTCTTTCAATGTGACTTGTGTAGGACTTCACCTGGCCCAGTCTGCCCATGCATATTATAGTATGAATATAAATTTAGCTTATTCACCTGATATTTTGAGCATTATAATCTACAATCATGATTTCAAAAATCAAAGGTCAAGAGGATTCCTTGGCAGTGTTTTAAATCTGCTAGCCTAAAAATTATACTTTTTTTCTTTCAAGAATTTGAACTTGACACATGCAGAGAAATATCTGACATTGCAAAGTTGAAGAGAAAGGATAGTTCCTTGGCACATAAGTGACATCAGTTCTTTTCTGGCCTTGCAGGGTCAGAAGTCTGGGCTCCAGGAAGTTAAACTGTGAGGGAGAGTAACTGCTCTGCTAGTGGGCTGTGCACTCAGAATTAAGCAAACCTAGCATTTACTGTTGTACTGGCGCCCGTTAGGTATATTTTAAAGTTATGTTTATTTTATTTTTTTGCTCTGTGGATTAGAGTTGTAAATGACTGTTTTCAAAGGCAAATATTCACCTAGAATTCTCATTTTCATCACCTTTTCATTTTGCTTTACTGGAAGACTAATATGGAACTTAACAATGATTACTTTCAATGTTGTATTCTTTCTTGTCTTAGTGACCAACAGTTTATGTATTCATTTTCTATTGCTTTGTAACAAATCACCACAAATTAGTGGTTAAAAAAAGACTCATTTATCACCTTACAGTCCTGCCTGCTGCGACTAGGTTCTCTGCTCGGGTCTTCACAAGGCTGAAATTAACACGTCAGTGGGCGGAGTTCTCTTCTGGAGGGCCTGGGGAAGAATCTGCTTTCACTTTCATTCAAGTTGTTGGCAGAATCCAGTTGCTTGAGGGCTGAGCTCCCCATTTTCTTACTTACTGTTGGCAGGAGGTCACACTCAGCTCCTGCAGGTTGCTCTCAGGTCCTTGGCCCAGGGCCCCCTCCATCTTCAGAGCTTTTTCTCTCACATGGATTCCCTCTCATACTTCAGATCTCTCTGATTTCTGTCTCTGATGTCAGATTTAAAGGGTTTATGTGATTAGGTCATTCCAACTCAGATGACCTCCCTTTTTTTGAAGCCAACTGTGCCATGTAACCTAACCTAACCACAGAGTAAGATCCATCATATTCACAATCTTGGAGATTATGCAGGACATGTACACCAGGGTATGGAGGTCTTAGGGGCCATCTTAGGATTCTGCCTATCACAGTTTATATCAATGATCACAAAATATCACTGTGAGAAATCTGCAGTGTATACGTCCTTAATAGAGTCCTATTAGGAAGGAAAAGGAGATGCCACATGTAGTCTCATGTCTTGGAAGGCCATTTATTGCTAGCTTCAACATGGATTTCCATGATAAGAAGATAACATATTATTTCCTGAGGAGTCCTATAAGTTATGACATAGTGTATTTTTTAACCTATTTTATTTTAAATTTTTTTTGGAAGAGGTGATTCACCCTTCTGTGGCTCAAATATTCTATGGTATAAATAATTAATACCATTACAGGGTAAATTAAATCTTTGTTATAATTTTGATAGAAAATTAAATATATTCTTCTTCTTCAATAATACTACATCGCCCATATGAACTACCTAATTCAGTTTTTCCACATCGTGAGTTTTTGTGCCTATTAATTTACTAAAGGACTAAGCTTTAAAACAATGAACATACTGGGGGTTTTCACCAAAGAAATTCAGCATGGTCCTGGGATGTACCATCCAAGTGTTAGAGAACTGAGCAATCACAGTTAGTTCAAGGCCTTGATATATCTCCACTGTGTGGGGTATATCAGTAGTCAACATTTCAACTTGAATTTTTCCAAGTTTAATCAAGTTTGGATGAAACCTATGTACATTTTATTACTTTTAATTTTGTATTATGTTATTTTTATTAATTTTTGTGTGTATGTGAGGAAGATTGGCCCTGAGCTAACATCTGTTGCCAATCTTCCTCTTTTTTTTTTTTCTCCCCAAAGCCCCAGTACACAGTCGTATATCCTAGTTGTAGGTCATTCTGGTTCTTCCATGTAGGATGCCACCACAGCATGGCTTGATGAGCAATGTGTAGGGCCACGCCCAAGATCTGAACCTTGGGCCACCTAAGTGGAACGTGTGAACTTAACCACTCAGCCATGGGGCTGGCCCCTTGTATCATTTTAAAATAAATCAATATCTTGGAAACCCAAAAGTTAAAAAAGAGAAAGAAAAATATATGTCATTCCATGTAAATTTATTTAAAACACAGATTTCCACGCTAGGAAGACCTAAACATGTCTATCAGCCAAACCCAACAATCAGGTAAGTGATTTAGTCTCTCTACAGCTCAGATTTCTCATTTTGTAAATTTACGTGCAGTAATGTTGCCCTTGCAAGATAATGTATTTATTTATTTTTAAAGATTTTATTTTTCCTTTTTCTCCCCAAAGCCCGCTGGTACATAGTTGTATATTTTTCTTAGTTGTGGGTCCTTCTAGTTGTGGCATGTGGGATGCCACCTCAGCATGGCCTGATGAGCAGTGCCACGTCCACGCCCAGGAATCGAATTGGCAAAACCCTAGGCCGCCAAAGTGGAGCGCACAAACCTAACCACTCGGCCACAGGGCTGGCCCCAGATAGTGTATTTATTCAAAAACATTTTAAAAGTTTAAGAACCTGAACCCTGCTAGGCTCTGAAGACATAGCTATGTATTATGAATATCTGAGGATGTTTATATGTTTTATGAACAACACAGGTATAATCCCTTTTATAGAATTTACAATCTGAAAAAGAAGTGTTAAAGTAAATGCAATAATATATATAAAGTGCTCATCTCATTGCCTAGTATTGTGGGAATACTTAAAACATTAATTACTTTCTTCCTTACCTTTTCCCTACCTGATCTTGCTGCCATAAGACATCTCATGACCATGATTCTGGCAAATGAATCTGAGAAGGATCTTGTTGCTGACGGGCTGTTATAGAAAATAGCAGCTTGACAAATTAAATGTCATTGAGGAAGTGAGATTGTATAACAAACTGAGTTTCCTGGTCATTCCTGCTAGAACTGTGCCTTTCAGCAAAATTAGGTTGGTGATTTCATTCCAAAGATGAAGTTGCAGCAATTTTCATCATGAATGTTACCCAATCATAGAAAAATTGGCAACATTTACTCAACAGATGTCAAAGTCTTTCTTGAGGGAAGGTTCTCACAGCTGACAAGCTGATGCTAGTGCTGCTGATGGTAAAGGGGAGAGATGGTGATGATATGATTAATAAAAAGTATTTCAGTCATATTTTCAGATTTACAAAGTGATTTGCAAATATTTTCTCTTTTGTTCCTTCTAACAGCCATGGTAGAAAATGGGAATCCCTTTATTTCATCTGTAGATAGTTTTATGCTACTTTATATGGAACATCCATAGCATTTTGTGAGATTGAAAACCAAGAATGAAGCAGCTTGCATGTTCATATCTTGCCAGCAGAGTGGAAGGGACTAAAGAGGGCAGTTAGTGTATGGGGACATTTGAGGTATAGTATCCCAGAGATGTAGCTATTTCTGGGCCTTGACTTTGGCTGACTCTCTGCATACTATCTAGCCATCCCAAAGTCTGTCTGGAAGTTGAGATGCTGATCACTACTTCCCTAGGTGTTGTGAAGAAGTGTGTTTATGAAATACTGTGCATCCATTGAATACACTGTAAGAATGACAGGAACAAGAACTATTGACATTTTGAAATAGTTTAGTGGTATTACTATTGCTTTGTGTATACCAAATATGATAATTATAATCCAGGGAAAAATATAGAGTATAACCTCCATCTCCTCATCTTTCCACTCAAATAGACCTCAGTATTCAGTCCCAGGGCCACTTTAATCTCTGCCCATGAAAACACATCAAGAGGAACGTCTATCCCAGGTTTTTAATAAAAAATTTTTTGCTAATAGATACAAGATAGTGATGGTGATTGATTTTGTCCCCAGTGATTCCTGAGGAGCTTCCAGTCAGCACATAATTCCCAGACCGTCTTTAGCTGACTGTACTTTCCTCTTTGTCCCCTCCGCTTTGAACTGACAGTTTGTAGACAGAGGGCAACAGATCTTCCCAATCCACAGGCGGTGCCAAGTGAATCAGGTTCTTCTTGGGTTTCAGCTACTCCCTGTTCAACAATCAGAGCTTAGTGAACGGCAATTGAGTGAGGAGGCAGAGCACTCAGAGGAGCAGGGAACAAGCATACTTCTCTGAAAAGGATTATGTAGCAAAACAAGGTCAAACCCTGCAGTGGTTTGTTTTCCTCTCTCTAGTATTCCTCTTCAATCAGCAGAAGAGGCAGTTATCAGTTGCTGGCGTTAAGACTAGGCACATCCATCCTTGGTCAAACATGCTGCAGTCTGCAGAGCCAGCAGCAGATTGCAGTCCTCTGCAGTCCAGCCAGACCAGCAGAACGTGTGTAGTTGTGTGCCCTGTTATAGCTAGAACACCAAATTGGGGATGTTCCCTTAATGGGGCATTTGAGGGCAGAAATAATGAAAGCTTTTGCTGTTTCAAAACAGACTGCCCATCCCCTAGTGCTGCTTTAAGAACGCAGACCTGTGTGGGGCAAGGCTAATCCAAAACCGGTCCTCACTGCATCATTAAATCTGGTTTTCCATGATATTCAGTCTGCGCGAGGACCCTGATAAGATAATTTCATTTTCTCCTGAAGTGCTGTATAGATGGCTATCATCTTAGAGTTGCACATGAAATGGATTCTTCAAACCCTTTTTAGATGCATGGAATATTTAAGAAACGACTAATCAGTTAACATCAGCACTGGGAGATCATTGTTTTGCCATATTAACAAAAACTCTCTTTGTGATTTTGCAGCCACGACAGCCCAATCCTGACTGGCGTTACTCTGCCTCCCTGAGAGCAGGAATGCACAGGTACGTATTTCCCTCCTTCTTTCACTCAGAAGTACCTTTAGCTTTGTGTGGCTCAGATGAACTATGTCTCCACAGGCAGGAAGCAGCTGTCAAGACTAAGAAGCTTTAGTTGCTTTGCCAGGGGAATGCCATTATTTTTTTTCTCTGTGTCTGTTCCTTGAAACATTGGAAGTGCTCAGTGCCAAATCTTATCAAGTGCTAGCAAATAAGAATCTCGCATAAGATCACAGAGACAGGCTACCATGTACTTTCATCAAAATTTCTATAAGGAAGCAATTCCAACTTCCTTTATCCCTTCTCCACCTAAACTTTCTGTCACTCCCTTAAAAATTGTAATTAATACTGATGCTTTTGAACTTGAGTACATTGTGTAATGTATATGTACATGTTGTCTACCTTGGTTTTTTATCACACGTTAACTGTTATATCCTATCAACCACTATAATTGGTTGTGATTCTTGTTGGTGTTCATCCCTGTTGAGTTAGAGTCTTCTTATCTTCTCCATCTCGCAGCTCTCGTATTGCCATCAATGGCATGGGCTCCTCAGAGGTTGAGCCATATGTAGGGCCTTTATTAAATATCTGGAGACCAAATCTAGCTTACTGTAGATTCACCTAGAGTAATAGCATTAATCTAAGACTCAGATTAAATATATTTTTCCTTTCTCCACTTTGTCTCTTTGACAGTAATTGATGAACTACCATGATTCCCAGAGCTGATCTAGTATCCCTGCCATGGGGCCAAATAAAAGATTCGTGATTTGTGAGTGTCTTTGGAAACCAAATGAGGGGGCCAAAAAACTAACGATCACTACTACCAAAAGGGTTTGGTTTTAAAGAAGAAATAAACTCCAAACCAAAGCCCGTCAGAACATCTGGGCGACTCTTAAGCAGATCTTCACCAAACCTAGAGCAATTTCTCAGGAGACGGCTTACAAAATATGTGTTGAGTTAATGAAAAATTAGCTCTAGCCCATGAAAAATGCATTAAATTAAAATAAGTTAATATTCTCAAGCACTGCATTACAAATTGAGCAGACATCATTATAATGGGTGCTATTTCGGAATGAGAAGCAGTCAGTGAAGGGCTGAAGATTGGTCGTTGGCTTGGTGAGATGTCACTTTAGAACCTGGCCAGAAACACTCACGCAGCTGCGAGAATACTAGGTTTCAGAAGGATTCTTCATATTTCTTAGAGACCAGCTTGTGCTTTTGCCTGCATCTGAGCTATTATGGTGGAGCCACACAATGGGAAAAAGCATGGTGTACAATACCAGCTCCTTCTCTCCCGATTGAATTGGTGCTCTACTGAAAAGTACCAAAGCTATGAGGTGCACCTTAAAAACTACATTTAAAATAAAGTACTAAAACATATCACTTCCTTATCTCATTTTCAAATGGGAAAAAAAAAGCCAAATGTGCTCCTATTCAGGTTTCAGTTAAGATATTATAAGATTTAAGTAGGATAAGAAGTGAAATAAAAATTGAAGCTAAATCTAATTTATTCTTCACAATGTAGTTCACTGAACATATATTAGAGTTGTGAACTTAAATAATCCTCATTTTTTTCACACACGTGCTTGGCTTCTTGGCCTTTCCAGTCTCAGACACCATGTAACTGTTCCTTTAAAATTCTGCTTTGAGCTGAGCTGGTTGCAGGGTAGTACTGTCTTCAGAATGAATCTGATTGAACCTGTATAATTTGCTGGCAGGATCCAGGAACACCTGAAGGATATCAATATTTGGAAAAAAGAGAAAATTCTAGGGTGTAGATAAATGAAGGGAAGGTAAGCAATAGGGTGCAGCTTAATGAGTGGATTTCCTCTAGACATGTCATTTGAAGTAAAAAAGTAAGAGAATATTGAACTCATAGATGGCCTCCCCCGGCAATAGTTCGTGTTTTCCTGTTCTCTTGCCTCACGTAACCACTTCAGATGGTATAAGATATTTTTAGTAACTTAATTTGCAAGATAAACCAGTTTAAAAGTGCCTTCTAATTTTGATGAGGGTTTTCTTGGATGATATTTACTCTTGGGGTCCCATTTGTTTCTTCCTTTATCAACTCATCCAACAAATATCTGAGGGTCTAATATGTGCCGGCATTAGAAATGCATAAATGAATATGATGTTCTCCCCACCCTTGAACGGTTTATGTTCTATCTCTGCTTCCTCTAAGGGTCTCCCAGTCCCTGTCTCCCTCCCTGCAATATTTCATGCTGAGTTAATCTCTTCTGAACTGGGATCCGTGAGTAGTGTAATAGGCTTCCTCTAGTCCCAGGAAATGTAGGGCGGGTCATCTATGAGTAAAAGGTACAGAAAGAGTAAAACAGAAAATAAGGTTAAGAATTAATTGGGTAGCCAAACTGGAATAATGCTGCAGTTATCAGCAAATAATTTTCGTGTGTTTTCCTCTTTGCTCTAAAAAACCTAGAAACAGGAGAACCAGCAAGAGGGGATTGGGGCTTTTCAGAACAGACTCTTCTAATCTGCTTCAGCATTAAGATGTTAAAATGGCATTAGCCCCTTGATGGGATTCCTGTTAGATTTAGTGAACATCACGTGGCATTAATGAAAACCAAAGTTGCCATAAAGATAAAACATGTTTATTGTCTGAATGGTATAGCAGGCAGTAAGTCAGCAATGCTTTTGCAGTTTATGCAAGGTGACTACTCAGCAGTAATTGCTTCAGTTCAAGCGTGAGTAGATTGTGTTAGCTGCAGCCCAGCCTCCAGAGATATAAGCACTTTCTGAGGGTGGAAGGAGATCTGGAAAGGCATTTGTGATCTAACCATTATTTGGGTCTATGTGTTTACTCAGCTCTGTGCACCTGGAGGAGGCTGGCATTCTACGGGCTGGTCCGGGAGGGCCTGATCAGCAGTGGCCAACAGTATCCAGTGCAACACCAGGTAAAGACCCAGGGTCTCTCCTTTCTTGCTTGTGTTCTGGAAAGCCATCAGATGACCTGTTTTTGTAAAAGCAGAAATGTTAATGGCTCTCTTTTCATTTCAATGGCTTTCTTCTTTTCCTTACATGCATACCTTCCTTACATACATGATTATTTTGATTTTCTACTTAATGTCCTTCAGGAGTTGAAAACAGATAACATAAGGGGGTGTGTATGTGTGTGTGTAACATTCTTTTATAAAATAACCAGATACCTTTCAAATGCTTAAGCCAACCAAGCTACACAGAGAAGGTCTGGTGGCCTCATGCAGAGAGATGACACTGTTAGCAAAGATCTTTTGGTTGAAGACAATGAAAACCCGCTCAAAGTTGTAAGCAAAAGGGAGCTAGATAAGTAGGTAGGTAGGTAGGTAGGTAGGTAGATGGATGGATGGATGGAATGGAGCTTCTCATGGTGGTGGAAAGTTATCAGAACCAAGGTACCACTCTCTTTGACTTCAAGTTAAAGTCAGATCTGCTTCTTTCTGCACGTCTACATCATTCTGCAGACTGACTTTTACTGCCTTGATATGCACATTGCCAAACATGACCACCTCCCAGTTTCTTAGTTCAGATGATAAATGGAGACCAATTCCTAATTTAAACTTTCAGGAAAGAGAATCCGCCAGGTTAGATTGAGAACCCATTGGCTTGGTGAGCAAAGAAAAATTGCTAAAACTCATAGTTTTTTCAGTTTCTTTATTCTTGACCAGTCACTAAAGCAGTGTTGTATAATAAAAATATGGCTTTGGAGGCCCATCCCTGTGGCAGTTTTCAGAAAGGAGGGATTATGGAGACTACAAATAGTGTCTACCATAATCCTCTATTAATAGAACATCATGATGATGATAATAGTTACTAATTATTGAGCCATAATATATCCAGACACTGTGCCAAGCACATTACATGCATGATCTCACTTATCCCTCATGACAATCTTGCAAGGAATTTATTATATCCACTTTACATATGAGAAACTGGAGACACAGAGAGGATAAGAAACATACCCAAGTTCACATAGGACGTAAGTGGCAGAGGTAGAGTTCAAACACAAGTGTGTCTAGCTCCAAATCCAAGTGTACCCATTGCTTTATATTCATAGCATGGCTGGTTGCAAGAAGCCATCCAAATTCAAATATGTACATACATACATAACAGATGACATAGGTGTGTATGTAAAAAGTTCTTTCCAAAAATAATCAGGTAGCTTTCAAATGATTAAGCTATCTAAGTAACATGTGCAGATAAGGGCCCATTTTTGCTGGCAACTCTAGGGGTTTTCTTTGATTCTAATCAACCAGCATTTGCTATTTATGAATATTGCATAATTCAACTAAAAGTCACATTTTTCAAAAAAGCAAATGCACAAGTTAAAGTAATTCACTAAAGAGCTAATATTACCAGATGGTAAGGGGAAGAACATAAAATAATTCATTGACAAATCAGCAGTGATGGAGTGAAGAAGTGATGGAGGAGGAAGTGGTTTTAGACTACCAAATAGTGCAGAATGAGGAGGCATCTGGAAAGGTGAGAACTACTCAATCAAAGCAGCCACATGAAATCATGCCCCGCTATCCTGCCCTCATTTCAGGGTTTTTCTTGTTCTCATAGAAGCTCTGTGAGTCAGTGTAGTGAGCCAAGAACTAACTTTGAATATATTCTCCCTTTTCACTGATGATGCTGATTGGTGTTTATTTCTAGGCAAAGACAAAATAGGAACTGTCTACTGATTATTTCATCTGCCTCTGGGCCTCTGAAGCTCTCTCCTTCAGATTCAAAAGAATGTTAGGAAGGAGTCCCCATTTCTCCCCTTCCCTACCACCCCAGCATCTCTTGTCTAAGCCCTTCTATCCAGGACCACGCCTGGCTGCTGACTCATGCATCAGAGTCCTCATGGACTGAGCTGGACAGAGGTTACATCTTCCGTTTACTCCATGGGTGACCTAAGCATACTTTTCAACATACCTCTGCACCATGAGATGCTCCTCTGCCTTCTGCTCTGTCCTTTTGATACTTTTAAGGTATTATGACTCAAAATATGTTATATACTATTTGGAGGGAATATGGCATAAAGATTAAGATTATAATTTGGAGTCAGATCTGAATTGAATTCCAATTCCAAACTTTTTTGCTGGGTGAGCAGAAGCAAATTGCTTATATTCATGTTTTCTTAATTGCCCCATCTATAAACTGAGTATAATAATAACACCTATCTTACCGAGTCGCCATAATAACTAAAGAAGAAAGAAAGAGCTGAATATAGTGCTTGACATATAATGCTAATAAATGTCTAATCTTCTTCTTTTTTTTCTGGGATACTTTTGTGCAGTCTATGATTGATTTGGCTGATAACCTGCTGACCAGAAGTCAGTGGTTCTCATTTCTAGACCGAGATACAGACCCTCTAAGGTTGTCTGGATCATCCTGACATCTATACGGTCCAGTAACCCTCAGCTGCCCTCCTGAAGATGGAATGAGGAAGATTTATTAGTTCCGTCCAAAGAAAAAGAAAATGCTTCAAAAAAGTTGGTTGTTTCCAGTTGCAAGTGGAGCCTGGCTTTCATTGATTCTCATGCCCTTAGTGCATCATGACAAAGGCACAGTTGCTTCCAAAAGGCTTCCTCCTGGTGCTTGAGTCTCTTACACTTGTGTCTGAGACCCTCTTGTGAACTAGCACCTTCCCACACCAGCACCCACGACGGCTGCAGCCGTGGGCACAAAGGGAGAGAGGCTGGCTGTGCACTGATCCTCATGCACGTGTGTGCTTGCAGTTGTTTTTCCTCCATTGATGAATTCTTTTGCTTTGTCACTAAACTGTTCATTTACTTTCACTGTGTGCAAAAGCCTAGAATAAGACGGCACGCTCTGAAGGGATCAGTGGGGACATCACCAGATGATGCAGGATAAACAAGTCAGGCATTAAATCAGTTAATCCTGATTTCTGGCCCCTTTTTCCAGCCTTGCCTCTGTCTTAGCAGATCTGGGCCACGCGCTTCGTAATTCCTTAGCAGCTTCTCGTGAGACTGAGCAGAGAAAGAAAATGAGCGAAATAGGAAGTGCCCAACCGACGGTTACAGCTGCTTCTTCAGATGGAGGAAGGTGTTTGTTGGGAGGGGCGTTAAAGGGCCAGTCTTTCACATTTACAACTCTAACTTTCTCAGTGTGGATGCTCTGAAGAGATTTTAATGAGTGCCCTCTTGTGACCAGTTCCTAGAGGAAATCCCGAGAGGTTATAAAAAGACTGCCCCTGCCTTCTAAAGATCTGGTCCTGCTCGAGGGCACCAGGCTGCTTGGCTGTCTTCTGTGGGGTCTTCCTCTTTCTACATTTCATGGGATTTCAGGACTTACCTAAGGCAACAGTAAATTATTTTTGAAATGGGAGATATTCACCGTTTTCAAAAAGGCTCAGGGAATTCCAAAACACACAGCACTGCCAAAGATAGCATTATAGCTTGTCAAGCAACACCCCAGGGAACCTGGGACTGAACAGTGAGATTAATTAGATAGGTAAGGCAACTAAGAGGATGAGCTTAGTTAGAGAGCCTTGGTTTAGTGACTAGACAGTGTTTCTCCAAGTGTAGTTCCTGGAGCAGCAGCACTCACAGTACCTACCAAATCAGAAATTCTCAGGGTGGAGCCCAGCAATCTGTGTTTTAACAAGCCCTCCATGTGATCCCGATATGCCCTAAAGTTTAAGAACTGGTCTAGAGTTGAGAGTAAATATTCCTGAGTTGTCTGGTATCTTTGGAGGCTCAGAAACACGGGAGGAAGGCATCTGCTTATGATTCTTGCATGAAGCAGGAAGCCTTTCCCCATATGGGAGGGATAATCACTAAGAGCTCATGCTCCGGGTCAGGATAACCCTCCTTTGAGTTCCAGCTTTGCTGCTCAGCAGTTGTATGTCCCTGGGAGCTTTACTTAAGTTTTCTGATTCCCAGTTTCCTTTTCTGTAAAATGGAGATAATAGTCGTGTCTACCTTATAGGATTGTTGCAAGAATTAAATGAGATAATACGCACGTATTACAGAGCCTGGAGAACGATGTTCAGTAAATGGCAGCTATCTTTATGGTTTTTCAAGGTTTGAGTCTATCCTTCAGTTTTAGAATTTAGGTCTTAGTTGTTCTGAGTAGTCTCTGTGGGAAGGCTCTATTATAGAGATTTTTTTTAAATGCCTGTCTTTTTGTGTCCTCGGGGGATTATTTTGCCCTGATTTGCCGTATCTCTTTACTCTGTGGAAAATGGACACATTATGTGCCCTTGTTCCACAGGGGGATTTATGCTCTTATTTGTCTTAGAGATTCCTGCCTCTCTGACAAAATCCTCCCTCTCTGCACCCCACAGAGGGGCTCCATGGAGACTCCATCTCTGATCCTTCCCCAGAAAGGAGCCGCGATCCTTAAGTTTTCTCCAGTCTATTTTGGAGTACTGCCAACATGAATTTTTCCACTTCATGAGTGAGTGCAGCCTCAGGCCGTGTTCGAGAATTTAGAAAGCGTGCTGTTCCACTAACCTGCTCACCCTCGACTTCTGCCGTTGTCATGGCGATGATAGTCCTGGGAGGTTGTGCATATCATTACTAGGAAAAAAAATGAGATCCGTGATCTGTGTGGGTGGGGCAGCTCCCTCCTGTCAGTGTCCTCCCCTCTCACCTTGGTCTCGGCCCAGGTGCGCCAGCTTGGCTCAGTGGTCTCCAGCTGAGGAAAGTGAGTCCTTGTAAGATGCTCTTTTACTTGCTGGGTGTGTGGAGCTCATCATGGCTCTTGGAATTCTCTATGTAGCTTATGTTGTGTGTTCTGAACTGGCTTGGAGGGAAGGAGCAAGATGGTGTGGGAAGGGAAATGAGAATCCTCTATCTAGGAGAAGCCATGAAGCTTAAGTCTTTGCTGGCTCTGTCCATCCATGACTTTCTTCATCTCATCTATTTTTAATGATCCTGTAAATAAAAAAACTAGAATGATGACG